ATCCTGAAATACTTGCTGCTTGCTTTCCTTTTAAAGTAAATTAACTTCTTGTAATTGGTACCTGAACGGGGCACGTGAGAAAGCTGGGGAGGGGCTTTTCACAGGGGCATGTAGTGATAGGAGAGGGAATGGTTTTAAGCAGAAAGAGGGGAGATTTAGATGAGATAGTTGGAAGAAATTCTTTGCTGTGAGGGTGATGAGACCCTGGCCCAGGTTGCCCAGGGAAGCTGTGGCTGCCCCATCCCTGGGGGTGTTGAAGGGCAGGTTGGATGGGGCTTGGAGCAGCCTGGGCTGCTGGGAGGTGTCCCTGCCCATGCAGGGAGTGGGACTGGATGAGCTTTAAGGTCCCTTCCAACCCAAACCATTCTCTGATTCTAACCTCATACCAAGTCTGAGGGGTGGCCAGTGCCAGGGGTGATGCCCTGTCCCCAGGACCAGCAGTGGAACCAGTCAGTGTCACCTCTCCCTGGGCAGTGGATGGTGCTGATGAGGTCCTAGCTGGTGTCCTCCATGGGATCACTGGAGTTGCCATGGACAGCAGGTTAAGTGTGAATTTTTGGAAGATCTGCCTTGTCCTGCTGAGGAGGGAAGTGCTTGTGTGTCCTGTCACCTGTGTGTTGGCAGCCAGTGTGTGCTGGAGGCAGCACCTGCCACAGCCCCTGGAAAATAGAAACTGAGGGTGTCAAGATGGGAAGAGTGATGTATGGAAGAAACCTCATGTCACTTTGGCACAGAATTGTCTGGAAAAATAATTGAGTCTCCACAGTAGCTTCCTCCTGCAGTGTCACTCTGTTCTGAATTAAGTGGTTCTATACCAAGGGTTTTTTTCCTGAGGTTAATTAATGAAAAACAAGTCTGTTGTTACTTTACTTGTTGGTAGAACAGCTTGTTTTAATCGTGTTTGTAAAGTTTATTCCTTAGGCAGCTTTCCTCAGAGTTGAGGTGTCAGTATGTGCAAAAAGCATTAAGTATTTGCACTGTTTGCAAAAAGTATTAAGCTCATATTTATTTTATAAATTAGTTAGAAAAAGCCTGAGCAGAAGGAAGGAGATGGGGAATGACCTGACTTGGATTGACCTGTCCCATTTGCCTTGGTGACATGGGAAGATGTTGAGCTTTTTTTGGAGGCTAAGGAGCCAAAAACAATTTTGAAAACCATGTTAATTGTTCCAAGTGAACTAAGTGAGGAATAAATGCAAACTCTCTTTTTGTTTTTTGTTTTGTTTTTCCTTTCCCAGCAAAATCGAGTAGGAAACTCACTTTCCTGTATTTAGCAAACGATGTCATTCAGAACAGCAAGAGGAAAGGTCCTGAATTTACTAGGGAATTTGAATCTGTTCTTGTGGATGCTTTTTCTCATGTTGCCAGGTATGTTGCTGTGTGTTTCTACAGCTCTCTAGAGATTTGTGTTCTTGTTACACAAAGTTGAATTCCATTATGGTTTGTTTGTTTGTTTGTTTTATCCTCAGGGATGCTTGTGCCCTTGTAGCTTTACCAACATAGGTGGTGAAACTGAATGGTTGAGAGTGTTTATTAAAGTCCCATCATGAATGAATGGCCCTTCACCTCTGTCAGAAGACTTTAAAGCTGATATTTTGGGCCCCTGGTCCCAAATTTGTCCTGCCAATTCTGAACTACAGCAGGTTTTTTCCTTCAAAACATTCCTTGCTTTTACTTTGGAATGGGAATGTGGGGCACTTACAGGCAGATATTTGTTCCAATAAAAGGGGAAAATTGGCCCCAAATGTATTTTGCACAGTTTGTCTCAGACAATATGAGAAAGATTCTCTCCAAACGTGCAGATCTTGAAATGGATGCAGCTGCTGGTTTGGAAGATGCTCTCTGAAAACATAAGGAGTGTTTTTCAGCTGAATTATAATTATTTTCTAACCTTTGAACAGAGAAGCAGATGAGGGCTGCAAAAAGCCCTTGGAACGACTGCTCAACATCTGGCAGGAGAGGAGTGTGTATGGCAGTGAGTTCATTCAGCAGCTGAAACTTTCCATGGAAGACTCCAGCAGCCCCCAGACAAAAGGTAAGAGCTTCTTGCTTCTGTTGTTGCTTTGCTGGCCTGTGAGGAGCTGGGCTCTGGGCTCCTTCCCTGGGGCTCCTGCCAGAGCTGGTCATGGAGCTTCTCCAGGGCTGTCATCAGGGAGCTCTGGCTTTGGTTGAGCTTGCAGTTCCAGTTTGCAGGTGCGTTGCCTTGTAACTTGGGGCTGGCAAGAGGTCAAAGTTAAGGTAACATCTGGTTCTGCAGGCAGACAGAGCACCCCAGGGCTGCTGTTTGATGTGGGGGCAGAGGGTACAGGGAGCTGTTGTGTCCACCTGGCAAGTTAGTTGTCCCACTCTTTAAGTCTGTGAGAGTGCCCAACTGGGTCATTACAAGGGGTTATTCAATGTTGTCAGTGCTTTCCTTCTCACATTAATTTTTTTCTTTTGCATAGCTGGCATATTTTATTGTGATTCAGCAAGGAGTTTGTAATAACTGGAGGCTGGAATGTATGCCCAGGAGCTGGTCTGGTCTCTTACCCTATCTGATGTCACTGGGGGATGTTGTGGTTTAACCCCAACCAGCAGCTCAGCTTGTAACAGCACCCAGCTCTGGCTCTGTCTGCTGCAACACAAAGGCCTGGATGGGGCTGTAGCAGCTGACACCAGGGCCCTTCCCACTCACCAGAATTCAAGTGTGACAGTCAGAAGTTACTGACATTTTTTCCCCAAACACTGGGACACCAACTGACCTGACAGAAAGGGATGGCTTTTCCCTGCCAGAACAGAGAGGGTCTCTGCTGTGAGGGGAGACTGGAAGGTGCACAGGCTCTGTGTGCAATAGCTGGTGTTGGGGTTTTGCTGTTGTCTGAGTACAATGTAGAAAACACCTGTTTGTCATGAAAGGGCAGAATTAACATGCCTGGATTCCTGTTGAGCTCATCAAGTGATGGTTTGAAGCTGCTGGATAAATGTTTCAGGAGAGTTCACTGTTAATCTGAACAAAATGGTTCTGTGTGTCCCAGGAGCACAGCTGGGGTGTCCTGGTGAAGTGGCAACCTGCCCTTCTCAGCCTTATTGTCCCCTGGCTGATGGTGTCAGTCAGTCCTGCTACTGTTGCCTTCTCAATTTAAAACCCTTTATACAAAATCAAACCCCTTCCTAAGTGTAACAGACCCTTGTTGTGGGAAACAGAAATACGAATGTATCAAGAACTGCTACTTGCTTGTTTTCATTTGTTTTTTGTCTGTGTCATTGGAGATTTTAATGTAGTATCTTTGAACAGTCAAGTCCCTTCCGTGAGTGTGGATATGGTGCCTTCTCTTGTGCCTTCTGGAAGGTGGCAGCTCAGTCGGTGGCACGTGCTCAGTTCCTGCCATGGAACAGAGTTGATGGCAGAAATTATGAAGCTTTCCCTTTAGGGGGTGGAGGGGTAAGAGTTCTGGCTCTTTCTAAGCATTTTGTTCCCTGGTTTTGACTTCCTCAGTTCTACCGCTTACTGCCAGATGTTAGTTTGTCAGTTCCTTAAGGAAAATGGCATATACATGGAAATGAGCTTTGGAATACTGACATCTTATATTGTTTTAACTCTAAATGTATTCATTAAGCTTGTGTTTGCTTTCTCATTAATCTCATTTTGATTGGAACATTTCTTTTTACAAGCAGTTTAGAAAAATCACCCACTTATCTTAAAGCCTGGGAAAACTAGGTCTGTAGAGGGTTGATGTAAAATCCTTTAGGTAATATAACCTATATAGCTGACATTTTCTTTTAATTGTCTTTGTAATAAGCAGTTGAAGGAAGTCCTTGAATGTGCTGTGATGTAGGAGTGTCACCCTGTGACAGGACTAGGCTGCCACCCCCCACTCTGGTTGTGTTGGTGTTGGAAATGCTAGTACAAGAGGTGGGAGCCATGTTGGAATGTGGAGAACACCCTCAGAAGAGCAGGCAGGGACACTTCTATAAAGGCATCTGGGAGTGGGCTTGGGCATAATTTTAGAGCACATGAGCTCTGGTTGTGTATGACCTAGAGACTACAATAAATGTGTGTTGTCGTGAGAACTTAATTGTGAGTAACCTACCCTCTGAGAGCAAAGGGCTGGAAGAGGTGGAGGGTACACAGGACCTTACATTGTTCTTGTTTTGTTCTTCTGGTGTTTTGTGATGGTCTTCTGGTTCCTTTAGGAAAGCTGTCTATTTGTTGTTGTTGTATTCAATGTTTTGTCCTAAATCACTTTCCAAAGTGCCTTTCATATAAGTTTACTTGGACCTTGCACAAATTGCTGAACCCCTGTTGCTTGGCACCTGAATCTACCAAAGTTTAGTTAGAGCTGTAGTTAGTTATGCAAGGCTTGTTTTTTCTGGTGCAGGTTAAGGAGTTTCTGCTCATGCAACTTATCACGTGTGTGTTCAACTGTCAGAAAAGGCATGTGTTGCAGCTGTGCTGAGACTGATAAATCCTCATCTGAATTAAGGACAGTTTGTTTTGAAAAAACCTGAACCCTTTGTGCAGTTACTTCCAATGAGAATCCCAAAATGGTCAGGGTTGGGAGGGACCTCTAGAGATCATTGCGTCCAGCCCCCCTGCCAGGGCAGGACCACCACAGAATCCAGGGCAGGTCACTCAGAAACACATTGAGGGGTTTTGAAAGTTTCCAGAGGAGACTCCACAACCTGTCTGGACAGCCTGTTCTGTCACCCTCCCAGTAAAGGTTTTCCTCATGTTGGGGTGGAACTTCCTGTGCTGTGGTTTGCATCCATTGCCCCTTGTGCTATCACAGGGCACCACTGAACAGAGACTGGCCCCTCCTTGACACCCACCCTTAAGATACTCATAGTTATTAATAAGGTTCTCCTCTCAGTCTTCTCTAGACTAAACAGCCCCAGGTCTCTCAGTCTGTCCTCATCAACAGGTTTTCCAGTCCCTCAAATCATCCCTGTAGCCTCTGTTGGACTCTCTCCAGTACATCCCTGTCCCTTTTGTATGGGAAAGCCCAGAACTGGACACAACACTCCAGATGTAGTCTCACCAGAGTAGAGGGAGGGGAGAACCTCCCTTGACCTGCTGGACACACTGTTCTTAGTGCATCCCAGGATGGCACTGGCCTTGTTGTTACTAAGCTCCTGACCATGTGGAGTGGCTGCTGCTTGAGTGTGGAGATGAATGCAACCAAGTCCTCCTGAGAGAAGATAATTTTATATTGCCTTGAGATTAAAGAAAAACCCCACACATAAACCAACTGTAAAAACAGAGCAAAGTGAAGAGCTGCAGATGTTCATGCACTTACCTTCTTCAGTCTTTCCAGTCCAGCTCACTTTGTCCTGCTCAGACAGAAAATGCAATGAGTTCTGGATCCTCTGTGTTAGGGCAAGTGTAATGCTGTGTCTCAGGCTCTACCAGCTGGCAACAGGCAGGGAATAGCTCTCCAGCAATCTGAGTCCCACTCCTCCTTTCCATTTTCCCTGCTGTGTGCTCTGCAGCCCTGCCTGCTGCTGTTAATTGGCGTTTGTCCTTTGGAGGTTAATTACTGCATGAGAAGTACACACCAGTGTGTTGTGTTGGGCTGTGTAGCTGTCAATGCTCTTTGGCCACTTTGTCCCCTGCACAGCTCCATCTTCAGCTCCTGTTTTTTGCAGACCTGAGTGGGTAGCAGATGTTTTCCTTGTTGATCTGGTATTTTACCTGACTGGAGTCAGATGATTAATTACTCTCTTAAACCAGTTACATACAAAACTTAGACTGTACCTTTTCCCAGCCTAGATAGCTTTGCTCGAGCACACATCAGAAATTCACAGGGTTTAGGATAACTGTTCCATGGGCTGCTTTGCCTTCCATGAAGTTCATATGTTCTCCGGCAGAGATGTTTGTGTCTGTCTCCCAAAAGCCTTTCAGCTTTTCCCCCACCAGCAGGATGTACACACCAATGACTTGCCATTAAAATAAAGCTTTATCAGACATGTCCCACCACAAAGTTCTGCATTTAAGGACAGACCTTGCTGTGTGCCTCCTCATGACTGATTTCATTTTGAATCAAGAGTGACGTTGGATTTTCCTGTGAATGGAAGCATAGACAGGCTCCTTCCCGTGTCTCCATGATTGTCGGCAAGACTTGATTCCATGGCAGAGATCTTCTCGAGGCCCTGTCCAAAGCTTTCTTACAAATTACCTTGACTCTTTATAATTTTGGTGGCAAGTCTGAAGAATAACCTGCCTTTCTCTGAAGGCTCTGTACCTCAGTCAAAGGCTGCATTAAAACTTCTGACTTATTAAATAAACTGTTGCCTTTTGAGCTGAGGGATGCTGCACTGAGGTTCCCTCAGCCAACGCTGCCTTGTTTCATGAAATCCTTCTCTCTGAACTGTCACATGTAACCTGCTCTGCCTGTTGCTATTGTTGCTGTCACGTCTTAGAGTTTCAGTTCCACAGAGCTGCCCTGAGGTCTTTATTTTGATGGAAGAGTGGAATGTTGAATAACTAGCAGTTATTTAGTTAATTTGGGGGCCACAGTGTGTATCTTCTTGGTGCAGAAAGATAACTTGGAACTGTTCTGTCCTCATGTGTCCTAGCATCAATGCTTCATTTCTGCTGGTAGAAATTCTTACTGAGTGCATGGTGTTAGCCAGAGGACCTGAGCAGGGTTGAAGACCTGACATTTATTGGCAAATAAAAACGTTTCTTGCCTTTCCTCCTTTCAGTGTCAGAGGCACAGAGATGGATGCAGCACATACTGCTGACATGAAGACTCTGTCCTTTCCTTGCATGTACAAGGGTTCTTGTCTGGGGAAAATCAACCTTTTGTTGCTGTTTTGCATGTGAGTGTGTGGAATATGGTGCCACCTTAGAGTCCAACTGTGAACATCCTTCCCTTCAGAGAGCTTAATCATCAAATAATCTGGTAGAGTTATTTTGAAGTAGAGATAGTGAAGGTGGGCAGATCCAAATGATTTGCTTGTGTGTCTCCTCAGTTGCAGAGGAGAAGAAGTCTTTAAAGCGGACTTTTCAGCAAATCCAAGAGGAGGAAGATGATGATTACCCCGGGAGTTACTCGCCCCAAGACCCCAGTGCTGGGCCCCTGCTGGTAGGTGGGGGGGTTGCGAGGGAAGTTGTTCAGAAGCCACCTCTTGTGTGGGACAGCCACAAGGTGGAGCTGCCAACAAGTGAAATGCTTCTAGTGGGGACCTTCCCTTGGGGCTTGAGGAGTCCATGTGAAATGGAACAGACTCTTTTATCGTACTGAAACACTGTGCCACCTCGGGGGGATTTCAGGTACTCCACCAAGGTCTGAGGAGCACCACCAGTAAAGGGTCTTGAAGGACTGCTAGACAACAAACAGTATTTAAAATTCTTCCCAAGATCAGTGTGTAATCTCTCAAACCGCAGGTTGCAACACAGGGGAATTTAATTATTTTTTTGTTGGCCATCTCTCCCCGTGAGCTATTGCAAAGCTCAGCCTTTGGTAGCTTTGTGTGAGGTTGTTAGGAAAACCAGCTCAGAAGACTGTTTTTTGGAGGCTGACATGTTAATGGTGTGGAAATAGTAGGAATGAAATAGAAGATCATTCTGGCCATTTAAGACCACAAAATTAACATATGTTAAACCATTGTCCATTTGAAAAGGATAAAAAGATGTACAATACATCTGGTGGACTGCAAACTTTGAAACATCTAAATAAATAACAGTTGTCAAGGAAGAAAGTGAATTGTTTTTACCCCCAGATGCCTTCCAGCTTATGGTTTCTGTTGTTGATAATCATTGTGTTTGTTACTGTTGGAAATCATGAGCAGTTTACGAAGAAGTTGTAAATATTAGATAATGGACTGCTTTATTTTTCAGATTAAAAAAAATATTTATTTTACTTTTTCAGTGTTTTTATTAGTTTTTGAACAAGTGAGACATAGTTTAGTGGTGGCGTTCACAGTGCTAGTGTTCCAGTTTCAGAAACCTCTCATTAAAATGTCAGTGTTTTTTAAAACAAAGAACAGGAAAACCCACTTTTTCTTCCTGTTCAGGGAGTCTCTTTTTCTAATTTTTTTAACCTTTTTTTCAGCAGTGAGGAAACACGGTGTGTCAGGGAGGTCCTGTTAAGCCTGTCCTCACCCACACCTTTCAGCTAGGGTACGTTTTGGGTGTATTGATACGAGCTGACATTTTTCCTGGCTGCACTAAAGCCAGCTGAGGGATGGAGCTGAGGGGCCCAGTGTACTTCAGGGGGCAGTGTGCTTCCGAGGAGCCAGCTGGGCTCAGTGAGGACAGCAGAGGCTTCCCAAAATCAGGACCACCTAAAGCTTGCTGTGACAGGGATAGCTTTCATTGTCACCAAAGCCTGTGATAGGTCACCAGTTATGGAATTCTGTATCTTATAACAATGGAAATCTGGCACAATTTAGTTTGAATTGACACAAAATTAGTTTTGTCTCTTTTTTCCTCTGTCAGAATGCACTTCTGGAAGGGAACAAAAGGTGCACGTGTGCAGCTGCTAATGCAAGAGAAAGTGTCAGGGATACTCAGCTAAAGGGAGAGTCCTGGTTTGGTGCAAAACAAAGGGGCTGGTGGTTGTTTCTCAGACTGGTGTGGTCATGTACTTAAATTTGTTAAATGATCACTTCTCTTAATTGGCATGAGAAGTTTTCTGCTGAAGAGTCTTGAAAAAGATGATCCTACTGTAACTATGTCTAAGTTCCTGAACACTCGGATATTTAGAACTCAGTGAGTACTCTGTGTTGGGAAGAAACAGTTTGAAAAGTACTTGAAGAAAATACTTAAAAAATGGTTTTTTTCTGAGGTCAGTGCTGTGCCCACATCCACAGGAAATGGCATAAAACTTCTCTGGGTTTGATGTCAGCTACCTTGTCTTGTAGACTGAGGATCTGATCAAAGCCCTCCAAGACCTGGAAAATGCAGCATCAGGAGATGCAACCGTGCGGCAAAAAATCGCCTCTTTGCCTCAGGAAGTTCAAGATGTTTCATTACTGGAGAAAATTACAGGTATGGAACTGGAAGATGAATGGGCATGGGTCCAAAGAATTACTTGGAAATGAAAGGGGTTTTTCTTTAAATAATCACAATGGGCATTGGAGTGAATTCCTGCTTTTGTGCCTTTGTTCCTGAAGTGGTTTTAATTTGGAACTTATTGTGAACTGTCATTTATTCAGTCCTTTATAATATATTCTTACAGTGTCCAGCTGTGGATACTAGTATGCAGTTCATAGGTTTGCCTGTACTGATACCTTAGGAGTTATTCAGAGAAAAGAGCAATTAAAAAGTGCACACCGTGTTTAAATGTGAAGAGCACCTAATCTGGGTATCTGAATTCTGAAAGTACAGCCTAAACTTTTAGCTTAATTAACCTGTTTATGGAGGCTGACTTCACAGATTTATGTCCTCCCACTCCCCCAGGCACTGACATCTCTGGGAGGACAAAATGCAGTCAATCATGTCAGTGTCTAAAAAGTGCCCTTGGTGGGCTGTTGGTCCTGCCAGGTTCCTGTGCATCCCCTGCGACAGGAACTGATTTTCCCGTTGGAACTTATTGTGAACTGTCATTTATTCAGTCCTTTATAATATATTCTTACAGTGTCCAGCTGTGGATACTAGTATGCAGTTCATAGGTTTGCCTGTACTGATACCTTAGGAGTTATTCAGAGAAAAGAGCAATTAAAAAGTGCACACCGTGTTTGAATGTGAAGAGCACCTAATCTGGGTATCTGAATTCTGAAAGTACAGCCTAAACTTTTAGCTTAATTAACCTGTTTATGGAGGCTGACTTCACAGATTTATGTCCTCCCACTCCCCCAGGCACTGACATCTCTGGGAGGACAAAATGCAGTCAATCATGTCAGTGTCTAAAAAGTGCCCTTGGTGGGCTGTTGGTCCTGCCGGGTTCCTGTGCATCCCCTGCGACAGGAACTGATTTTCCCGCCGAGCCAGGAGCCTGTGAACGTGCTGTTCTTGTGCCTGTGCCCGTTGAATGGTAGCCCTTGTGTCAAGGACAGGAAGTGTTAGACTTTGTCCTCTGAATCCCCCTTTGCTCGCAGACAAAGAGGCCGCCGAGCGCCTGTCGAAGACGGTGGACGAGGCGTGTCTGCTGCTGGCCGAGTACAACGGGCGGCTGGCGGCCGAGCTGGAGGACCGGCGGCAGCTGGCGCGCATGCTGATCGAGTACACCCAGAACCAGAAGGACGTGCTGACTGAGAAGGAGAAGAAGCTTGAAGTGAGTACTGGTTGCATGGGTCTCACCAGACTCTCCTGCTTGACTCCTCATCTGTGTTTCTCTTAGAGGAGGTGATTCCAGGCATTATCTTCAGGTTTGGAGCAAAGAGGATAAGAGAGTGGTGTGAGAAGCCTGGAGAGGGCAGATCTGTTCTGATGTTCATTCAGGCTGGTGTGTTTTAATACACGAGGACATGTCTCCATCCCTGGAGGTGTTTGAGATGTGTAGATGTGGTGCTTGGAAACATGGTTCAAGCATTGGACTTGGCAGAGTTGCCTATGGTTGGACTCAATGTTCCAACCAGAACAATTCTGTGATTCTGTGACATGGAAGGTCCAGAACTCCATACTTAAGTAAAAATAGGCTCACCTAACCATGGATCTTCAGGTTTTTTTTGTGAAATCTACAATTTTAAAAAATCAGCCTTCCTTTGCCATAATTAAGTGGGGGTTTTTATTAGTTGTCCTTTTGTTATTCTTTTCCTTATGGAAAAAGGTCATCTCCTCTGCCTTCCCAGTTCCTACTTGATAAGGGGATACAATTTAACCACAATCTTCTGGTGTCCATCCTCAACAGCTGCTCTTCCCCACAACTTTGGAATCATCCCCATTTATAATCCATCACCAAAGGATGGTGGTAGTTTCCTGCCCAGCTCCAGTGGGCAGGGAGGGCAGGACCTGTACATTGTGACCCCACGATGGGGCCTGAGCCCCACCTGCTTGTGGGTGAGGACAGGGGCTGCAGCAGCCAAGCCCTTGAGCTGAAGTGCTCTTTCTTGGAGTATGTTCTTTCAGCACCACATCTTGGGACTAGTGGGGAGGTTTAATTAGTGCTGGTGGTTGCGTGTCACTGCCATCTGCTAAACTGCCCCTTGGCGGCACGTGAAGGGCTTCCTGGGCACTGTGGGCTGCTGGTTGTGATGAGCAGCTGCTGCTGGGGGATGGGGTTGCTCTAGAGTACAAGGTCTCCTGGAAGGAGACTGTACTCTAGCAATTGTAGGCTATTCACTGTCATGATGAGCCCCTTCCTCTGACAGCTAGACAACACTGTTTAGAGAAAAAATTCATTTTGAGTGTTTTCTTTGTCATGTGTGTTTATGCTGGTGTTTCTCAATGTCTTGTGACTGAACTTGCTGCTTTTTCAGAGCAATGTTTTTCCCAGATCAGCCAGACAAGTGCTGATTTTACATTTGGAATTCGAGTGGATAGTTAATAATTCTGTTTGCTTGTTTAGCTTGAATTTCTTCAAGGATAACATCTGTCTTATGACTGAATCATTAAAAAGCACTTTCAGACATGGAAATGAACGATGCTATAAAACACATTCTGTTTGGCAGCTGATTTATTTGCTGGATACTAGAGGAAGTCTTGGGTCAGTTTTTTGTCTGTGCTGTAACAAGGACACCTATCTAGTAGAAACGTGTGTGTATATATATAAAAATACATAAATTATAGACATATTGCTGGTTACTTTTTTAAAAAAAACCCAAGGAATAGGTAGCAAAAATGCTGCACAGGAATGTTTTAAGAAGCCCCCAAAAATCCATAAATTTGAGTCAGTTTAAGACTGTGAAATCAAGAAATTCACAATGACAACATTCATCTCTAATGCATTAGCTGAAATGTGACAATTGTGTTGTTTTTTGGTTTGGAAAATATCCTTTAGGTAAGGAATGTTACTTGAAAATTGTTACTCTGGCAGGGGCAGAAATGCAATCCTGAAAAATAACTGATTCACTGGCTGGGCTGCTTTGTGGGTAGGAATAACCCTGCTGAGGGCAACAGGACAGGTTGTTTGCCTTCCATCCAGTGTAAACACATTATTTGATGCGCTGGAAACTAAAGAATGATCTCACTAAATATCTGTATCTTCTTAAATATCCGTTTGGGTGAGTAGCTTTTCATGCTGACAAAGCCAGGTGGCCTTAGTTCTGTAGAAATCTGAAATGAGTTGCAGGAAATGCCACTCCAGCACTTACTGAACATGAAGGAACCGTTCATGTTGGTGTCAAGTCTCAGCCGAGGGGTGTTGCCTGATGAAAGCATTCCATTGTTGTGGAGTTGTGGAGGGTTAATAAATAGTGGAAGATGTTGGTTGTAGATATGGCAGGCCACATCTGCTTATCAGTTTTGTTTGAGCCTTTGATGTTGCTAAGCCTGCATTTCTCTTTGTAGTGCCCACGAGCATTTTAATAGAAGGATCTGAGGTTCTTGTAGCAATTAAGAATGTATTAAAAAAACCCAAAATATTTACTCAGGCAAAGGCTGAAATAAGAAAATAATCTAATCTTGCATATCTTCTCATTGTATGCTTTGCTCTCTCAAGATATGTTTCCAGAATCGTTGGTACTATTGCCTGTAAGTTTTTTTTCTGTTGTGAAGTCATCTTCCTGACCCTCAGATGAGATGGTTTTAGCCAGAAGATGAATTGTTTACTTTGCTGTACTAATGTAGCCAAAGCTGCTAGTTGGGAAAGGGAGTTTATTGACACAGAGCTTTACTTCAAGATGTAGAAGTGTCCAATTTGGAAATAATTCTGGATAGTTTTTGCATTTTATTTATTCACAAATCAAAGTCTTTCACTCTGATAGCAATGAAAGCAGCTAATCTACATCTTTCGAAAAGCAGCTTTTGCAGTCTAAAGAGCTGCAGTTGTTTACTAATCCTATTAATGCTGTCCCTCCTGAAACACAGCAAATTCTCAAAACATAGACAGAAACTCAGTGTATTTATGTCTAGTGGGCTGCTGCTCAAAATACTTGGCAATGTCAAAGTCCTGCAACACAGTACTCTTGTCCTCAGTTGCAGAAAAACTGTTTAATTAAGGGACAATATCCTGAGGAAGGTGGTTTTAGATAATGAATTACAGTCAGCATTAATACATGTTGGTGTGAGCAGGGACTGGAGCACCCAGGGGCTGAGGCACTGGTGATTTGAAGGGAGAAAGCTGGCACAGAGCCTGCAGATCACAACATATGGACAAGCTCTGCTTTTAGGGCAGCAGTTCTAAAACCAGGAAATGTAATGTTTAGGATTGTTTTATCCAGGGCTGGGGGCATTGTGATATTTTGATGGTAGTCTGAAAGTGCTTAGAAGGAGAAGGCAGAATTCCTCTAGTTCTGACAACCTGCTGCAAAGCAACATCAGCTGCACCAAAGCTGGTGCTGAGCAGGCTAGAGCAAGGCAAATATTTTTAGGGGTAAATAGCCCTTAGGTTAACTTACTGAAAAGGACAGTGGAAAAGGCAGTTCAACATCTGAACACTGGATCTCTTTTTAAGCAGTGCTTCATCTCAGGTAGGAGTTGTGAACTTAATCCTGCAGCTGCTGCATGGTCCTCCGTGGCCTGGCTCAGAGGTCAGCCAGGACTTTCAGAGTAGTAGGTGTCAGGAAGTAAAATCCATTTTCACATAGGCATAGAAACAAGACCTGGTGTTTCCATAGGAATGAGATAAGGTGTCTTCATCTCTCATGAGCATTTAACTTCCCATGAAAGTTCTCTGCTTTGTGTTATTTTTGGCCATGAGTGCCCTGTTACAATCACTGAGCACAACCAGCTGGGGAGGGCTTTTGTCCTTCAGCTCCTAAGTCTGCAGAACTTCAAGGGGAAGGATTGTGTTTTGAAGTTGGTGCACTCTGACTGTGTGGCAGGCAAGTGGAAAAAATCCAGGGAATCAATTTATGTAAAGCTGAAAGGCAGGGGGGAGATACCTGGGAGAACATTGCCATGTTGGTGTTCCAGGTGACTGTAAAATGAAGTCGACTAAATAGATGGGACTAGAACCAAGTGGAAGTAGTGCAGAAAATAGGACATTATGTGGCAGCTTTATGGGTATCTGAAATACCTACAGACAACAGAAAATGTGGAGTAAGTGGAAGGAGGGTTATTTTAATCTAACGGGGAGAAGAAGCAAAAAAAATTAGAGAGGAGAATGTGCATTCAGAATATTTGTTTTGATTTGCAGTCAGTGATGCTGAGTTCTTCTCCTGCCCTCCAAGTATCTTCTCTGCCTGCATTTGTAAAAGGTGACATGAGGAACATACTGCAGTACATATAGCTTGTGTGCTGTAGGCATAGTGCAGAACAGCCTTGGGGTTGTTCATTATCCAAGAAAAAAAACAACAACAAAAAAAGCCCCTTAATGTCCTAATCTTGATGTGCTGAATCTGAATGTTCTGTCAGGATGTAAGATGAGGGCTTATGTGTGCTGTTCTGATACTCATTGAGCAACAACTTGATTCTCCTTGCTTTAGAAAGCATTTAATTTGGGGTAATTTTCTTCTAACACCCTTTGCATTGATCATTTCTTATAAATACATTGTCACTGTGAAATTCTTCTAACATGTCTTAATGAGTGTGTTTCAAAAGTATTTTAGAGAAAAAAGCTGAGGAATACCTAATCCACCTGCTCTGTAAGTGTTGTGTATTTAATGTTTTAAATAAGAGATTTCAGATGACCGACCATACAAGCATCTCACTGCCAAACCTCTGGCTTCACTATGTTCTCTTCTCAAATTTGTGTGGTTTTTTTTCCCTGATTTCTGTGGTCCTTTGCTTCCCTACATCTGGCTCAAGCTACAGCCCATCAGAACAGAGAGTGACTGACTGGTCTTCCTGTTCACCTTCTGAATTCTCATTAACACTAATGAGATGTTTTCAGTAGGTGCAGTGGCTGTGAGGTCCTAGAGCACGTTACCCCTCAGGGGGGGCAGAGTCCAGTGAAGTGCTGAGCTGCAGGAAAATGGAGCCCATGTGGGTGTAGCTTGGGAAGCAAGGCAGGCAGCAGCCTGGGGATGGGTTCCCAGTCACGTTGGTTGCTGTCAGGTCTATGATGTCTAGCTATGCTTCCTTTGGATGGAACACCTCTGTTAGAAGCCTTTGGTGGTGTTTAATTCTGATTTTGCATTTCTTTCAAGAACTGAGTGTCAGACTCTGCCACTGTGTGTGCAGAATGCTGCACACTGACAGGGAATCTTGATGAGCAGAAACATTTATATGGCACAGCACCAGCTTTTTCTGTATCCTCCTGAAACTCCTACTTACAGCAAAGATCTCATTATTTAGTCTAAAAGAAGCAAATAGCATCCAAATACTATCAATCTTGATGAAAGGCAACTATGCAGTGAGGCAGTGAGCTAGACACACGAGTACAAACTCAGACCTCAGACAGCAGTGCTTTTCAGCTTTACAGAGTGGAGCCACCTTATGCACAATTCCGCAAGGAGCAGTTTGAGCATGAGATGGGCCACCTGAACAACGGTGTAAACTGCTTCCAGAGCCCTGCCTTGCAGAGCATGGACACAGCCTGGATTGTGGGGAGAGCCCCTGAGCCTGGAAGAGGGTTGTGCATCTCCACTTGTGTGTATTCTCACCTGGAGCTGAGGTGTGTTCCTGAACACCAGTCAACACAGTGGGCACCAGGGCAGGTGGGAAGTGTTAAGCCTGCAGGAGACAGTGCCCTGACCCAGCCTCTGTGTGTTGGGGCTGTCCAGGAAGTGTCCATCCCTTCTAGGAAAGCTCCCTTCCTGATTGCTGCCTCCGAATGCCATTTACATTCCTCAACTTAGTGATGTTTTCCTGAGCCAGAGTTCTTAATGGTTTGAGGCTCTTGCTGCCTTTTCCTTATGAGTGGTTTGTTTCCTCTCTTTTTTAAAATTGTTTTTTTTTATTTAACAGACAGGATTCAGGCCTCACTGCTTTAACAAAAGCTCTAGTGTGCACTAGTGAAGGCTTGCACTGACCTGCCAGTAGGGTAGAATTCCTTAGAATTGAGCAGATGTGGTTCTCAAAGTGAGTGATTTGATTGTTTTTCTTTGTCATTGTACATGTACACAAGTCTTTGCTCAAATCAAAAAGAATTAGCAGTTCAAGTGGTATTTGAGGTATTTTCTTGGCTTATGCTTGGAATTTCCACCTTCTACCCATTTATCAGGCTTGGAGGGCTTGCCAGCTGCCTTGCCCTTCTTGATTTCTTTCCTATCTTTAGAAGGAACTACTACAGCAAAAAAACCCTGCCAATATTCACTTTTGACAGAGTTTGGCATTCTGGAGAAGGTGCTGCCCTTTCTTTTCTGTCATGGGTATCCATCACTCCCTGACAATGCCCTGTATGATTATTTTTTTAATTCATTTTTTTTAAGACAGTCTTCTGGGGGTGGCAAAAAGCAAACTCTGAATCCAGCCTCTTCCACCTTTTATCTGTCAGCATTTGGAATGTGTGTTTTCCTGGGTTGATTTGCTGTCCTCATAATGTGACTTTCTTGACTTGTTTTCCTGTATGTATTTCCCCAAATGGAATGACAGGGGATGTGGCTGCATTCTTATTTTCATCCTGAGTCTTCCATTAAAACAAAACAAATCCTCATAATCTGAATTTTTTTGGGTGCACCTTCTCCTGAGTTTTTGTTTTGCTCCTCTAGGCTGCAGAACATTTCACTGCAGTTTATGAAGCTGGTAGAGCTTTGTTTGAGCTCTGTTATTTCAGTATATATCCTCTGTACATTAACAGAAGTGTTTGGTTATGATGGTGTGTTAACTCACTGAGCCTCATCAAAGGATTTCAGTTTAAAATAGGCTGTTAAAGGACATTCTTATTTCGTGCTGGCAGGAAATTTATGAAATATATTCATAGAGCCATTCCAGGCATAGGGGTATTCTGAGCTGTTGCAATTGACTGCTGCTCTCACTATTCTAATTCAAAGTAATGAAACACAAAGGGTGTAAACTCATTGCTTGTAACCCTGCAGGAACTGCTCTGCTTTGATACTTGGAGAAGGTGAAGAGAATTTCCATCACCGAGAAGGTTAGAAAGACTGGATTAAAGTTGTAAACTCTTCAGAAAGATGTTTTGATAAAATGTGTGTCTAGTTTTATTTGATCTTCAAAGATAAACTTTTGTTCTCTGATAAACTGTTCTCTTTGCCAAGTAATTAAGAAATTAAAAGTAAGATAATACCACAAGTGACTGCAGGAAGCAGAGCTTTTTCGGAAGCTCATTGTTTCCTGCATTCTGGAGATGCCATGAAAGTATGTCATGCTTGGTTGGGTAAAGACTGCAGCATTCTGAAAGAAATTGTTACTGTTTTTCTATTACTTAAATAACTGTCTTCTACATCAATGTTTAGAATCACAAAACTTTGCAAATTACATAAACATCAGTCTTTAACTGAGAACAGAGAACTCAGGTGTGTGTTGGTCTTCTTTTTAGTGGCCTCCAAACACAGTTCAGCAAGGCACAGGTCTGTCTTTTGGTTTCAGGGTCCAAACTCTTCCTGTGTCTCCAATGAAATACTAGTCCCTGTTACCTGGTGTCTCTAGTGCAGGTGGATAGATGTTTCTTACTGCACTTGTAATGCTTGATCCAAACCTCATTTGTGGAAAAACAACTTACAGGTTTCCTCTTCAGGAATTTACCATTTTCCTCCCTTTGCAATAAAATTCTGAAAATCTAAATGACTGTGTTTTGTGTGGTTTCAGTCCAGTGTGGAGGTGTCTTGTTGAGATGCAGTGATCAGGCATGTATTTCTGTGGGGTTTGACACCCAGACTCGTGGTGCAGCTGCTGGGGTTGCTGTCATGGGCTGGGAAACAGTGCACAAGAATTTGGTTTTGATTTAATGACTTGAAAATTGGATTATCTAAATATTCAAAACTGCTCAAGCTTGAAGAAAATGAGCATTTTAGCAGCATAGGAATAGATCTGGGCCAGCTGAGGTGTCTGAGGAAGGCTCTGTCAGCGTTCCTCCTCCAGCAGCAGCTGCAATTCACAGCCTGGGGAAGAGCACAGGAACAGAGCAGCTGTGCAAGGACTCTCCTCTCAAATACTCCATCCGGGCCCAACAGGTACAGGTTTGGGAGCATTTGACATAGATTCTGTGAAAGTAACAGAGGGCAGGATTAGTGGGTCCCTAAGGATGCCAAAAGCTGTTCACATGGCAGGGTCTGCATCATGCCAGTGGCTGCTCAGAGAACCAGTGCCTGGCCACCTCCCCTCAGCACCCTCACCTGGAAGATACTCCTGGCCTAAGTAAAAGCCCTGTTAATTAACCTGTGCTTAATCTCCATTCTCTTGTCTCTTTTCCTCAGGAATATAAACAGAAGCTTGCTCGGGTAACCCAGGTCCGCAAGGAGCTGAAATCCCACATCCAGAGCCTTCCAGACCTGTCCCTGCTGCCCAATGTCACGGGAGGTCTGGCTCCTCTGCCATCTGCTGGTGACCTGTTCTCAACAGACTAGAACCAACAGTGTCCCCCAGTTTCCATTGTTACCAGCAGAAGTAAGAAGACTCTGGTGTTGACTGGAAACCCAGTCTTCCAAGCTCTACAATAGGAAGGAACTTGCAGACCCTGCTTTGAGCTCTTGGCTGCTGATGCTTCCCCTCTCTGGGGTGCACTGGCTCACAGGGAGGGGAGGAAGAAGAGCGAGTGTTTGTGAGCTCTGAAGGGAGTGGGGATAGTCTGTCTAGGCAAACTTTTCTCATATTTTCCCATACTCTTTAGTTGCTGTTTGCTCTTAGCACTTGTTACCCCCACGAAAGTCGTGAGAATCATGTACATACCTACCTGGAAAGCTTTCAAGGAAAGGTTGAGCATATATTGTTTTTCTCTGTAAAAGTATTGTATTATTTCTGAATAAGTCTTGTCTGGTTTAGTTTGGTTTCTGAACCTCATCTCTGAGAGCATCCAGCAGAGTGGGGGGGGGGTGTGCAGGCTCTGTGCTGTGCCAGCGAAGGGAGGAGGCATCTTCTGAGCAGTGGTACAGGGCAGTATTTTCTGGAATCTGCAGTTCCTGACACTGGTGGGGCTGATGTGAAGATGGTTCCTATTGAAACATAAATTGAAACTCGCCACAAGCAATAAAAATAAGCAGCTTTTCTTTGTGAATTAGAGAGAACTTCATAATTTACACTCTGCTGAGCAGTGCAGAACTGGCTTTTGCTTACATGAGAGTGGAAGTAAATTTTGTTCTATCTACCTTAGATTTATACCACATTTTTCCTCTTCATTGTACAGAATTAGATGGTCAAAGGAGCTTTGGTTTAAAAGACTGAGAGGTTGGGATGGGTTTGGCAGCTGGTGAGATCCCAGGGACAGGCACTGTCTGACCTGTTCTGAGGATGGTTATATTGAAAATACTATTCTATAAATTCTCTCCGTAGCTTTAGTGAAGGTGTTTGATGAACTGAAGTTAAATGTGGTATAAAAGTTTATTTATATAGAAAATAGACCTTTATATATGCACACGTTCTGTATGCACATGTACCATGTCCATGCATGTAGATATGAGAAGGATGTACTTAATTTTGTGTCACGGATTATTGTGAGTTGATTTTTATAATCAGGAAAAGTGAGGAAAAAGAAAAGAAAGCAAATTTAAAATGCTCATAATTCCATTCAGTTGCTGGCTAACGTTTTAGCTGCTGTGGATGTAGTTACATTTCAGTTTGTGTGTTAGGTCTAACAAGCTGGACTCTGATCACTGAAAACCATTCCAATTTGGATAACAATTCTCTTTAAATTTAGCACCTCTCACTATAAAATGTTTTAAGTTTCTGGAAACACTTGATCTGGTAATACAGGTTTTGTAACAGAGGCTGCAATTTGATGTGCTGTGTTTGTGCCTCCCTCTAGTCTTAAGCTGCTGTTGTCAAAGACGTGAGAGGAAACCTACAGAAATGCAAAGCTTGTTCTGCAGCCTCATTAATTTATTTTACAGGGTATTCAGTAGCTTATTCAGTTAAAACAAGTCATACAGCATTTTTTGGTCATTATGTTGTTAAGAAGCTCACATCCCTTTCTTACTGACACTTCCTTTTGTCCTTTTTTTAAAGCTCCTTGCACCCTTCCTGCCCAGCCAAGAAATGTGTTTTTCTCTTTAGTTCACAGGAGATTTTCCAGTGGCAGAACTATTCTTTCCATTAATTGGTTTGGTTGTGCAGCCTTTAATGGTCCAAGCATTATTCAGATAAAGCACTGTACATTCTCTTTGCTTTTGCCAAAAATGAAAAACAAAACCCCACCAAACCTTGAAGACCCAAACCAAAAGACTCCTTTCTGTCCTGTCTCAGCTCATGGAGTTACCCTAGGGCTGTTTTAACCAAGAATTACTTTGACCATTGATTGAATGTGTAGCCATTGTAGGACAAAAAAGCTGTCATAAAAAAAATGTAGACAAAATGTGTGGCCATCTGACGGTGTTTGTTGGGCAGATCTTCTGTGAGAGAGTTGTATGTCCTCTTTTTTTTTTAATTGAAATGTTTTGGGTTGTTTGTTTTTGTTTTGTTTTGTTTTCCAAATATATGTGTGTGTTTTATTTTGCTTAATTTAAATGAAGTCTTGTGGTTTTTAATTTTATTTGTTTTCCTTTTTGGGCAAAGGGCATCTGATGAGCTGGGTGAGGTTCTCTCAAGGTTAAGTGGATTTCCCCAAGGTGTGTCTTTTTTTAACAAAAGCTTAAAATCTGTATATGAATTGATTTAGGAATTAATTTAGACATATAGGCTGCCATTTGTGACAGCAGTATATTCTGAAATGTCTCATAGATATCTATTTTTGAATAAAGAGGGTGTCGTTGAATAGTAGTGGCTTTACTTTATTCCATCAGGCAGGTGTTGCCCTGGCACACCGTGGGTTTTGTTGGGGGATTTTGCCCTTGGAAGTGGGAAGCAGTGGAGTCTCATGGGACTGTGTTGAGGCACAGCCACCCCTTCCTGACAGCTTAGGAGCCAAATCAATTTGCAGTGTTCTTGGGCTGTTACTGCAATGAACAAAAATGAAAAATGCCCCCCTGCACCAGCTTCTGGCTGGAGGGGCACAAGGTACAGAAGACCAGCTTCTTAACTGATTTAGGTTGTAAGGGGGACATGTAAATTGACATTCTTAAAGAAAACAAAGATAAGCCAAATCTGAAAGCCAGGAGCGTGGCTTTCCAGTACAAGCATCAAAAGCTGCTGCTCCAGCAGGATCTCTGATCTGCATCTCGAGGCCTTTCTGCTTCTGGGGGGGGGGGGTGTCTTCACTGGGGTTCATCTTCTTAGAGGTTTTGGGCATGCTCAGGGATTCTTCAATTAACCACTCTGCAGTGGTCTCTTTGGGCAAACAGTCATTGTTTCATATGCCTTGGAGGGGATCTGTAAGGCTGCTTGCATTTTTATTCCAATGTACAAGAGGCTGTACCTAGTGCTGCTTTCACAGGGGTTTGATGTGCAGCCCTGGGTGAGCAGGAGGGAGGCTGCTGGGATCCCTCCAGTGAAAAGCCACCTTTGAATTGTGTTTGTAGCAATTGGAGGGAGGTTTTCAAAGGCAGAAAAGGTGACTAGGTACTGGGTGTCCTTTCTTGACTTTGACAATCAGAGGGGTTTTGTTTTGTTTTTAAGAACTGAAGCAAACGCCCCTGAAAACCACTTGTCACCTGGGCAGCTTTCTGTGCAGTGAACTGCATTGGCGTGTCCTGCCACTGCAGCTGGTGCTGTGCTACAGACTCAGCTCAGACCAGGTGTTGATATGTTCTCTGGTCAGTTCTAAACTTGATGTACATTTATCTTTAAGATTAGACAGAAAAGGTGTAAAATGCACCTGATGAGACATCGCGGCAGACGAGGGGCTGTGGCGGAGCGAGGCTGGGACACCTGTTTGCCAGGGATTTCATGTGCTCTTGGGGCAATGCCACAGGAATCTGCTGCCTTTTCCCTGTTTGATCTTCGTGACAGTTTGTAAGGTTGGGGCCCACCAAGTTTCTGAGGACTAGACGTGCTTTGGAGGTTTTGGGATAAACAAGCAAGGAAAAAGAGCCAGGAGAACTGGGAAGCTTTGGAAGCCTTGGCAGCTACTGCAGTGCAATGATAGTGTGTTGGCACTGAAGTGTTGTTTTTGTACCATCTTAGAGAGCAAATTCTTGTCTCCACAGCCAAGTAAATGGGAAGTGAAGTTTGCATCTGTGGTGTACAAAGCAGAGGGATAAAAATGTTCCTGTTAAAATACAGCAAGAGTCTCAAACTGAAAGCTTTGTGGTGGCTTCACAGTGCAGGAGGCTGGTCGGACAGTGGGAAGGGTTGAGGGAAGAAGGAGGCTGGCTTGGTTGAGCAGCACCTGATTTGGAAAGGTTTGATATTCCTGCAGATTTGGATTTTGCAGCTTCCTGCTGCTGCAAGAGGCTGGAGGAGCAGGGGTGCCTGCCAGGCCATGGGAGCCCTGGGGAGGGTCCTGCTCAGGGCTTCACCAGCAAGCCCAGGAGAAAATAAGCTTCTTTAAGGGATTATATTGTGAAAGCAAGGTCTTGTGGAAAGAGGATTGGAAGGAAATGGGTGTGAATTACAACATAAATGCCTTTGTGTCTTCCAGAGAGCTGCTGCAGCCTTTCCCTTCTTCCTTGTCCTCTTTTTCCACTTGCAGGAATGGTGTGAAAAGTCTGCTGGAAGGCAGAGTAGATTGAAAATAGTTTGGGGGGGGATCTGTGCTCCTGGCTTTGAAATGCCCAGTGCAAGGATGGAGAGGGTGGGAGGGAGGGTGTGGAGATGGGCCTGACCTGGGGAGGGGGGCAGCAGTGGAACATGCCCCGAGTCCTGTGCTTGGCGTCTCCTTGTTGCTGAACTGCTCATCTTCTGCCACATGGATCAGCAAGGCAGCCATTCCATGGAGATGATGAGACATCTGCCACTCTAATCACCACAGCAGATGACAAACATCTCCCCTGCTGCAGTCATCAAATATGGTTTTGGAGCTACTTTTGTGCTGGCCAGAAAATGGAGGCAGAATTGTGCATTAATACAGGACACCCAGTTGTGTTCTCCCTGAACCTGCCATATGTATATCTGGCAGAGTTCACTAGGAAACATTTTTCTTCACCTAAAACTGTCTAAGTGTCTTCAGTTTTTCTAATGCTCTGGGGTGAGGAAAACTTAGTATTTGTCTTGGGAAACTGAGCATCTTCAGACAGATCTTTTGTTGTGCTCAGCCACACTGCCAGCAGCAGCAGCAGGAAACCCCAGATCTCCTGGGGCTGTGGAGCTTTGACTGCTGCGTGTTTGGGGAGGAACCTGGTGGCAGAACTGCTGCAGATCCCTTGACCAGAGGTGGCAGCAAGCTGCTGGGGACACTGCTCACCTGTCCCCAGGTGGGCAGGGGAGCTCCAGGGGAGAGGGTTCCTGCTATGCAGCCCTGGCAGGGAGATGTTGATCCAAGGTAAGGGAGGGCTTTGGGCACAGCTGTGCCTGGCCAGCAGCCAGCAGCCAGGGACAGGCCCTGGGCAGCCCACCTGAGCCTGGATGCTCAGGATTGACTGCAAATAGTGTGCCCCTGTTTCCCTCCGTGCAGGGATTGATGTTGCAGCCTGGCCAGGGCACTGTGGTACCGTGTGGTGCTGCTGGGATGCATCAGTGTGAGGATCAGAATAAATCACAAGCAGATTGAGGGTTTTTCTTTGCTATCTGGGAAGAGACAAGCAGTTGACTGACACCATGCCCCTCTGCTGCAAGCACCTGGCAGGCTCTTACCAGTCTCCTTACTGGTTTGTCTGCGGGAGTCCAGCCTGGGCAGGATGAGACTGAAGCCCCTGGGCTGGGCTGGTGGGCTGCTCCCTCCTGAGGGTGCCTGGAGGGGTCAGGCAGCACAGAAAGGCTGTTGGAATTGTGACTCCACTTGGTGGCCATGCTGAAAGAAGTGTCTCCATGGTGTTTATTGCACCTGCCATGGTCTTGGAAAAGTGGGATGGCTTCCCATGGGAGCTTTGGCCAGCAGGGAGTTCCGATGTGTCTTTCACTCCCTGCTGGCTGGTGCCTCAGTGAGTTGGTTCAGTGAGTGTAAAAACATGTCTGTGTGTGAGGAAAAGGAGGGGGAGCTTTGGAGAGGTGCTGGGATTTGAAAATCCCACAGAATTGGACTTTTTTGTGCTCTGATTTATGGCAGTTTGTTCTAGTCTCGATCCATCAATGAAGGTAAGTTAAAGGTCCTCAATTCTAAAATGAGTTTGCAGCCACTTCTTGGCAGGTCGGCATCCCTGGCGAGCTGAGCTGCACCAGCAGCCTCTCCTTCCTTTGGCTCTTGGGCTGATGCTGAATTGCAGATCCTCTGTGCAATTGATGCTGTAAATATTTGACTTATAATTTATTGCAAGAGTGCCAGAGTCTCACAGATGTGGCACAGGGATGTGTGTGGGGAGGGAGTCCCCAGGCTGTGGTGGCTGATGGTGCCTGTTGTGCCCACAGTCCTTAAAGGGTGACTAAGAGGGTGTGTGGGGCAAACACCTGTGGGCTTGGCAGAGGTGCCTGAATTAATTAATCAGGGTCCTCAAACGGGCTGGGAGCAGGGGGTGGTGGTTGGATAATGGGAGAGAAACCAGCCCCAAAGAGCTGAACCCCAGAGCCCAGCCAGGAGGCAGCCACTGGAGCCTCACGAGCCCGTTTCTCCTGGCAGCAGCTTTGCTCTGCCAAGCCTCAGATGGATGGGAGTGACCTTCAGAAATAGCTGTGCTAATGTTTATTTTATCAGGACCCAGCTTCGAACCAGAGGAGCTGCCGGTTATTTTTAAACCAGGCATTGAGCAGCTTGAAGCCTGGCTCAGCAGAGCTGCGTGTAACAAATGCTCTTTAAAGCAGGGCTGTGCATCATGGCTGGTTCCCGACAGGGGAGGCAGCGCTGGGTTCCTGCTGTTAACTCCTTCAGGCACTGCTGGGGCTCTCGAGCTCCTGGGGCTTGTCTGGGGGGTTGATGCTGCCCGAGCTGGGGGCTGTGGTCCCCACCACTCGCCCTCCTGCCTGCATGAGGAGGGGAGAATCTTCATCACCTTCTCTCCTGGAGCTCTGGTCCTGTTCACACACTGCCAGCCGGGCACTCCCAGTTCCTGTGCTCCTCAGCCCTCCTGTAGGATGGACCCTGCATCCCCACCCCAGCCCTGCGGTGGTCCCAGCCCCAGCTGTGTGTTCTGGTTGCATTTGAGCAACGAGGGATAGAGAGATGTGGTTAAACATCCACAAGGTGAGGGGAGAAGGATCATGTGGCCATCCTGGAGGGTTGGCTTGAAAGGTTTTGTAGGTCAAGTGACCTGCAGCAGGCAGAGCCTGGGGCAGGAGCCAGGATGGAGCAGGGGCAGCTCCTGCCTGTCCTCCCTGGGGGTGAGCAAAGTGCTGGGATGATGGTGTGGACCCTTGGGATTGGCTGGCAGCACATGGAGGGTTTATGTCATCTTAAACATAAACAAAGTGAAGCTGGAGGACGGACTGTCCTGGGTCAGAAATGCTCCCAGCTCCCCATCCACCCTGGATCATGGAGGGATGGGAAACTCCCACCACAGCCACGGGCAGTGTCAGGGTGACTGGGACCAGCTGGGTGCCAGCTCACTGAGTGGGGTCACTATGTGCTGTCCCCCAGCTGGGGTGGGCTGCCAGCATCCCCTTTGCCCGGGGATGTAGGAAAACTGGCTGCAGCAGGAGGCCACTGGGTCTGTAACAGCTTTTCTGGTGCTCGTGTACAGGTTCCCACGGTGCTTGTGGGGAGAGCGGGAGGGCCGTGTCCTGGCGTGGGAAGCACTTATCTTCAGAAGGGCCCTGACCCCTGCTCCAGGCTTGACACAAATTTTCTCCCTCCTCCCACACCCCCGGGCTCAGCCTCCCCTTCTCCCTCACTTCCAGGTTGGGTTTCTCCCGTGGGCAGCCCCAGCAGGAGCCTGGCCATGCAAAATCTGTTCATTTCCTCAATGGGCTTCCTCTCCTGTGAGAGCTGCTGGTGCCTCTGCTCAGGAAGGATGCTCAAGGAGAGCCAGCATGGCTTTAAAAGTGAAAAACAGTTTTTATTCAGTGCTTGCATAGTTAAATCATGTCAAGGTAATGTCCCATCGCTCACTGCAGAGCGTTTGCAGTGACAGGAATGGTTATTAAAGCAAGCATGCTGCTTTACCTGTGCAGGAGGGTTATATGCAGTGTGTATTTATATAGCTATAAATAGATGGATGTTGGGGATGGATATGGTGCATAAACAGATTTTGCCCCGTGTACAATCTTTACTGAATTGCATTCAGAGAGCGGTAATGGCGCGGGTGAGCAGGGCTGAGCTGTGATCAGTGCTGGAGGTTTTGCTGCTTGGTTTGGAAAATCTGCCGTGGCCGGGGCTGCAGGAAGGGGAGGGGGCTGGGCCGTGCCCGGGGGTCCCTCTGCACCCGGGCTGGGGGACACGCAGGAAGGGGACGTCACCCGTGGGGGTGAGGGAAAGGAGGCGAAGCGAGTGGCTGCCCTCGGGAGCTCCCGAACGGCTCCAGCTCCTCTCCCCGTCCCCTCTCTCCTGTCCCCGCTGTCGCTGCTCCCCCCGCAGCACCGGGCGCTCCCGGGGGGGCTCGGGGGCTCCGGCCGCGCTGCCCGGAGCGGGTGCGGGGCAGCGCCCCCCGAGGGGAGGGGGGGACAGGG